CTGCAGGTGCAAAATGACAGCAATTTAAAGCAACACAAAAGCCTGGTAGAATATGTTACTTTCTGAATATTTGAGTAACAGGAGGAAAAAGGCAAGGTAGAAACCCAAGACCTGTAACATCTGTAGCAAATCTTAAAGATGAGCTTCAATGTGATATTACTTATCAAAAAAATTAGGTGTTCATGTCTTTTGACCCATAAATTTCATTCTGGGCAACTAAATTTGGAAATAATGTGGGCACAGATCGATGTGTAAGATGGCATACAAGATCTATGGGTGGGGCGCCTGGGTGGCTCAGTCGGTTAAGCATTTGCCTTCAGCCCAGGTCATGATCTTGGGGTCCTGGGATCCAGTTCTGCATCAGGCTCTCTGTTCAGTGGGAAGCCTGCTCTCCCTCTCCCTCTGTCCCTCCCCCCTGCTCCTATGCCTGCTTTCTCTCTCTCTCTCTCTCAAACAAACAAACAAGATGTTTTAAAAAAGAGATCTATGGATAAGGGTTTCTCTACTGCATTATTTATAACAGTGAAAAATTAGAAACAATTTAATATCCAGTAATGGGGAAGAGAATGTTTCAGGAAATCAAAGTAAATCTACCTAATGGAACATTATGCCTTCTTCATTAAGAGTGATCGACAGGAAGACTATGTTGTAACAGGGCAAATACCAGGTATGACCCAAAGTTAACAGAAACAGCAGGATATAGTGACCACGAATGTCATTATGTGAAAAGCATGCCTGTACATGAATGGTCTGAACAGGGGATTTTGTAAAAATAATCCCTGTCACTGCATCTGGGTTGGGGGTTCCTGGAAGAATTTTTTTTTTCCGTTATCCAAACTTTCAGTGTGGTTATTATATTGTCTTAAAAAAGGGGGGGGGTAGCGCCCGGGTGGCTCAGTCATTAAGCATCTGCCTTTGGCTCAGGTCATGATCCTAGGGCCCTGGGATCAAGCCCCCGCATCGGGCTCCCTGCTCTGCGGGAAGCCTGCTTCTCCCTCTCCCACTCCCCCTGTGTCTCTCTCTGTCAAATAAATAAATCTCAAAAAAAAAAGAGCTACCCAACTGCTTTTTTAAAATTTGGAAATGTGAGGGAAAAAACTGAGGTTTCCATTGTTTAATATTCTGCCCCCATTATGCATCAAATAAACGTTAACCACGTTTTGCTAAATAAATAAATCTCAAAAATGTACAACACAAATACTTTTCTTTTCCACACAGATCAGATGCTTTGGTCATAAAGGGATTGGCAGCCTGAGGTCTCTTAGACTAAGTTAACTATGCTTTCCCTAACAATTCCACTTACTAAATCATTCTGAAATGTATCTTCCCATGACTTGACATAGATTTACTCAAAATACGTGCCCTGCGCAGTTGTAGATGTTCAGGATCCAGCAGTGAACAAAGCAGACACAGACTCGGCCACTGTGAAGCTTAGCACACACCTGGGGGTGAGGAGAGCAACTGTACTGTACATAGCCCGGCCTGGGAGAGCCTCTCTGAGAAAGCACCATGGCAGCAGACGTCTGAAGGAAGTACGGATGGAGCCCGGGGGCAATCTTTGAGAACAGCGGTCCAAACACGCTTGGTGCCCTAGGGCAAGTTGACTGGAGAGGCCAGAACTAACAGGAGGGAGAGTGGTAGGTGTCTGGGGTGGGGAGGTCACCAAGAGCATCAAAGCCCACAGTAAAGAGCTGGCTTTGTATTCTCAGGGAGAGAGGGAGCCATGAGAGGACAAAGTGGTAACATGATTTACCCTTAACTTTCTGTGATGCTAGAAAAGCTTCCCATCTATTCGTTCGGTAGCCACCAACCAGGTGTGGCGATTTAAGTTTAAAGCAATTAAAATTAAAATTTCAGTTCTTCCACCCGACTGGTCACGTTTCAAGTGCTCAGGTGGCTGAGGGCCACCCTGGACTGTGGTTTTAGAGGATCGTCAGAATGCTGGGTGGAGAAGACACCGGAGGCAGGCAGGTGCTGAAGAAAGCAGGGCAGGACCAGTCGGGAGGCCACTTCTGGGAGAGAAACAGTGGTCGCCTGCCATGGGTCATGCTAGCAGAGGTGGTAGGAAATAGGTTCAGAACAGAGTTCTGAGGGGGATTTGTTGATGGAACGTGAGCTGAGAGGACCCCCCCACTAGCTCTGAGGTCTGTGGCCTGAGCACCTGCAGGATGGGAGTGCCATTTACTTGGAGGAAGAGGATGTTTTAGAAGGGAGTATGGGATGGAATCACAAGCTTTGTTTTGGACATGTTGACTTGAAGTGCCTGTAAGGCATCCTAATAGAAATGCCCAGAGGTCTATGGAATTGAGAAGATAGATCTGGGCTGAAGACACAGTCTTGCGACTGTCAATATTTAGAGCCATTCACTGGGCAAAATCACCCAGCAGCGGCCGTAGATGGTGAGAAGAGGAAGAGGGTCGAGAAGTCAGACTGGGGCTCTCTGATGGTAAATGTTGGGGAGGTAAGGAGAAGCTCGTAAAGGAGATGGACAAAGAAAGGCAGGTGGAGAACCACTGTACAAGGTGTCCAAAAGCCAAATGAATGAAAAGTTTCAGAAGGGAGGGCCTGACCATCTATGTCAGATGCTGCTGATATGGTAAGAAGAGACTGGAGAACAGACCACGATATTCCACAACACGAAGGTCATCTGTGATCTTCACACTGTCTTAATTCTCACTGCCACCACCTTCCCTGGACTCCTTTGCTCTAATAAGTCTGCTATTCAAACATGTCCTCTACATTTCTGTCAATGTTATTTTTCTAAAACATAAGTTTTCCTGCATTGCCACTCAGCTGAAAAATCTTGCCCAATACTACAGTATCTACGGCAGCAGCAGCTAAACTTTAGGGTGCAGATAAAAATCACCAGGGGGTGACTAGGCCCTAACTCCCAAGATTCTGTCTCAGTAGACTGGGGGAGACCTGGGAACTGTATTTTTAAGTAGCAACCCAGATAACAGTTACAAGGGACAAAGTCCAAAGTCCAAAGTCCAAACTCCTTAGCAAGGCAAACAAAGCTTTTCCAAAACTGGTGCCGAACTTCCTGACTAGTTTTTTCCTATGCCACTCCAGACAACATCTATATGCTTCAACAAACTCAAACTAATTATTCAAATCACTTGCATTGTCCCAAACATACCATGTTCTTCCAGATATTACTGCTCCTTATCCAAGCTGCTCCTGCTGCTTAGAAGGCAGCTTTAACCCAGCCGTACTCAGCAAACTCTTGACTCATCCTTCGAGACCCAGCTTAAATGTCATTCCTAGTGCGAGGCCTCGCCCAGCTCCCAAACTGTGTTAGACATTTCTTTTCTTTTTTTTTGACAGAGACATATCGAGAGAGGGAACACAAGCAGGGGGAGTGGGAGAGGGAGAAGCAGGCTTCCCACGGAGCAGGGAGCCCGATGCGGGGCTCAATCCCAGGACCCTGGGATCATGACCTGAGCCGAAGGCAGACGCTTAATGACTGAGCCACCCAGGCACCCCTGTGTTAAGACATTTCTATGTAACATTTATCATGCTGCCTATTTGCTGAGTACTCTGCCATCATCCCCACCAACTCCAGGAGGGTATGATAGGAGACGGCAGTTTCTTCATCTGTGCAAGGCCAACTGCACCACCAGGCACACTGCAGACATCTGATAACCACAGGACTGTGGCCTGACCCCAGGCATGTTGGAGGGTGCTCTGGGAGTTAAGAAGACGCAGTGACTGGAGTGCTGGGGAAGTTGGCAGCAGCTCTGTCTACAGGACAGACTGCTACCTGGAGCCCGGGGGACGACTGGAACTTAGAGAGAGGGGCAAGGAAGGAGAGACACCAAGAGGACCCCCAGACCCCCGGTGCAGGACCATGGGAGACGAGACGGTGGGGCGACGAACATTTTCTCCCCTACTAAGATAGTTATGGACTCAATGTCAAACACAGAATTTGAAATCTATAGGATATGGTTTCAAATAAATATTTTAAGCCTATGTCTTATATTTCAAAAACGAAACAGCAACAAAACCTGACCCTTTACAACCTGTTGGTTGGACCTAGTAAGTGTCCCACCCCCTTTTATAGGACAGGACAGACTCATAGCTCTTTATCTTGGTTCACTGAAGTAACAGTCTAAGGAGATTAAGTCACACACTGAATCCTTACATGGGCTCCTCAGCTTTTATATTGCTCCTCAGATCCATTTTCTCACAAAGAGGTATAAGGGACAGTTTGTGGCACAAATCTCTCCCCTGTACCCTGCAAACAACTCACTGCACATCTCCTACTAAGAAACGGACCTAAAAGGTTTCCCAAAAGACTTTACCCCACAACACAGAGCTGCTCCAAGAGTAAGTCTCTGCCACTTCATTCTAAATCCCCCCTCCCAGAGCACCTAGTCAGTATTTCAGAATCCATCTCCTCAAAACTTCTCAGAGTAACCCAGAGCCTGGCTCTTCTCCTGTTTATCTGCAGGTAATCCTCAAGGGCAACCAACTTCAGAATGTTGACACATCAGGATTTATAAAGTAGTTTTATTTACATGCAACTAAAACAATCAATGCAGTATTAGAAAAATATAGAAACGTCTAAAAGGAATGTAATCATAACGCTTTTCATGCAAAAACATCTTTGTATGTATGATACAATAAAGAAATGAGTTTGACATTTTGTTCTAAAAATTTTGATCTGGGGGCACCTCGGTGGCTCAGTCAGCTAAGCGTCTGATTTTGGCTCAGGTCATGATCCCAGCCTCCTGGGATCAGGCCCCGCATCAGGCTCCCTGTTCAGTGTGGAGCCTGTTTCTCCTCCTGCCCCTCCCCCTGCTTGTGTTTTCTCTCTCTCTTCTCAAATAAATAAAATCTTTATAAATAAGTAAATAAATATCTTGATCTAGATTTTTTACGTTTTAGATATTTAGGTAACTATTATTCCTTTTAGGCTCATAAAACCTGTCAGTTGGTGACTGATAACCACCGGGACAGGCTTTATTGATGAATTGTGGAAACATAAAATTGCTTACCTGGGGGGAAATAAACTGGGGAGGCACTTGCGCCCGGAGATTAGGAGAAGAATTCAGCGGCTGCACTGGCGTGTGCATACTTCTCGATTGTGCTGTGCTATTTCCAAACAAACCATGATTGCCACCCTGTAAAAGTAACAGCAACAGTAAGGCTTTTTGTTAATGTAAGAAAATGCAAAAAAGAAACAGCTCTGGTTTTCTAACCCTCAGAAGAATCATATCCTGTGTTCCACGGAATCACAGAATTTTATAACTGAAAAGTTCCTGGTCTTGGAATGCCTGGGAAAATTATTCAAATCAAATCATGCACATAGCACCACCACCCCTGCAGTCGGATGCACTCTATAACCAAAAGGGTTAAATTTGGTCAAATGTTAAAAAAATGCACTAATTTTTTTTTTTTGTAATTGAAACATATAGGCAATATAATGTTTATTTCAACTACTCTCTCTTTTGTCTTTTTTTAAAAGATTGCATTTACCAAATTTATTCTCAAGTCCAATAATCTGAGCTCCATCTTGAAAGGCACCTGAGTACAAATGCAGGCTTCTTCTGAATAATAACAAGTGTAGAGCAACACTAGGACATAATGTCTCTGAATTGATTAGTTCAATCATAGAATCAGTGCCACCAAATGGTAGCCTAGCTCCATGAGAACCCTACTCCAGATCTGAACACCCTTCCCTCTCTTGGGTCTGCTCGATCCCTTCCTTGCTAGATGAGAAAATCTAAACCAAGAGTGAGATTTAAAAAAAAAGAAAGAAAAGAAAAGAAAAAAGAAAAAAGCAGAAAAGGGAAAAAGTGAAAAACCATTACAGGGACACCAAAAAAAAAAACCATTACTCACCTTTAACTTCTCATTCCAATGTATGAACATTAGTCTGGTTAAAAATAAGCTTAATTCCCTGATTTCTGGAGGACCAACTCACTGGAGCACTTCTAGACTATTCTAATCAAAGAGCTACAGGAAACTGGGCTAGATGACGGCCCTTCTGTTCTGACTTGTTTCAAGCCGAGAACAGCCCTTCAGCAAAGAACTTGACACTGTTCCCTCTGTCTGAGGACAGCTTCTACACCATCTCCACTTGGCCTCTTCAGGGCCCAGCTCAGAGGTCATCCTCATAAAGGAAGTCTTCCCCAAACCTTCTTCCTCGTTTCACATTCAAATTAACTGAGCCCACCTCTATGTTCTCAAAACACTTTAAACACTCTTTGATAGCACCCATCAGCAAGTCCTATTAATTTTCCATTCTGTCTTTCCACCACCAGCTTAATACTTCCCTCTTTGTATTCCCAGAACTCAATAAAGTCCTAGTCTGTAGGACGCAAACGTCATTATCAACCAATTCCATATACTTGACAACATCCCACTGAATATCTTTAGTGAAGACAGCCGTACCACTGCTTCTACCAAGTATGTGTATTCTGAAGTCACAGAAGATGAGAAGTCACATCTTCTCCCTGGCATAGTGGGGATTCAGGTAATTTTAAAGAAGAATTCTGTAACAGCACCCGTAAGTTCTAGAACACTGAAGATATTTCAATGGCTTAATGATTCAAAATAGATTAAGGGACTGCTACCGGGAAATTAATGAACTTAAAAGCACTGAAAATAAAAATGGCTATGAACATAAAGTAGAAAAGGCAATCAAAATCTGTGTATATCTCATAAAAGAAAATCAAACATCCATCATGAATTTTAAATCTCCCCAAAGACTGTTTAAACATGAAAAGACCTTTAATTCTACAAGCTGTAATGTCTCCACTTCCCCTGTCTTACTAATCAAACTGTCACTCTAAGGTGACATGGTTTGGCTCTAATTTTTCTAAGATCGTGGGAGTTGGTAGCTTACCTACTGATCATTCTCAAGAACACAGGAAACATCTGTTTCACTGAGAATATTCTGCTAAGATCATTCTCACACTTTACTATAAAAGTAATGACCTTGTTATGAGATGCTAATTACTCATGGTTGGGTCCTTGGATGGTGGGGTTTCTGGTAGCTGAAGTTCTTTGCCAGAATCCATGTTTTAAAAAGTCCAAAACTGCTTTAAATTCCAACCTCTCTTTTGGTAAGAAATATCAGAAGGAATCTGCCTTTTTTTTGTTTTTGTAAAATCAGGCCCTATTTGCACATTCCCAGTGGACAGATGCCACCCCCACCCCACTGCCCAGAGGTTTTAGGTTTGCTTTATCAAGTGTCTCTAAAGCCGTATCAAGCCCTGTGATAGGTCTGATATGGGTAATAGTATAGACGAGTCAACAGGAGTCTATCAAAAAACACCTTCTCTCTTTTTAAATATGGAACCCTGGCACTGCTGCTCATTTTCTTGGCTCAGAAGTAGCTATTTCGCAGAGTAATAAGTTTAGTGGCAATCATACATAGTTTTTTTAAGACTGTATTTAGAAATTAGGAAAACGGTCATCAAATGCTTATATGTATGTTAATGGCGGTTTATCTGGTTATTTCTACAGCTTTACTGTTGAATATAAGGCTTTTATGATGACCTGAGTCTTAGTATTTATTGATGATGGCTGCCTCAATTACAGTGTTTAAAATAGAAAGGCATATAAATTAAAAACAAGGTTACCAAGCTGATTGAAATTTGTGACTTGAAAATAAAAATCTTACATTTTAATTTTTAATTATGAACTATATTAAGCCTGCATGAAAATGGTGTAGAAGAACCACGACCATATTTAGATAAAATGTGTATCCACCGGATTCACAATGGACTTTGTAGCATTCCATTTTTAGGATAAAAAAAACCCAAAGAGGAATGACCTTTTCTTAGAGTCCAGTGCCAGCTACTTTGGCTGGTCTATTATACTAAAAATTATATACTAATGGCTCTTGATAAATGTGCAATTCTGTAGGCATGTTTGTATTTATCATTAATCAAGAGTGTGAGGACTATTTTATATTTTCTATACCTCAGTCCAAAAAAAAAGAGCTGCCCCAAACCACTGATATAATTATTTCTTCCTTGTTTATATAAGCTATACATGTCTATGTCCTCTGTGGAAACATTAAGAAAAACAGTGAAATATAAAAAAAGAAAACAAGAAATTACCCGTAACTCCCAAACCGAAGATAACCAACTGAACACATGGATATCGTATGATCCATTTTTAAAATGTGCTACAGCAATAATTAGAAAGCATATGAAAGACCTGTGTGCAACTGAAGGATTATGGTGTGAGAGGTGTTTTATAATACCTTTTCACTTGTTTGTGAAAGTCAGCATGTGGAAACAGAATGGATACAATTAATAATTAAATGTCCTTCCATGACATCCTGAGGTGAGAGTCACAGTGACAGGTAAATGGTCACAGAACTGTGGCTAGGAAAATATCATCACTGGGGTCACTATCACAGAGGAATTGTCTCCAAATTCCTGGTTTTCTCCTCGAGAACTACCCTGGAGCTGCTGTGGGGTGACAGAGGCCTGCCGTGCTATGTCAGGCCCGCGGAGGTGAGGGGGCCCCAGAGGCCTGCCCTGCCAGTCTCACTCCTGGTGCATGGCCCCTCCTGGGAGGGCTGAGGCCCGCCCCTAGGAAACATCCAGTCTTCCCAAAACTTCATTCTCCCCTATCAAATTACCTCTCTCTGGGTAATTATTGTATTTTACACTTGAAGACACTAGGTTTTAAGATGCTGTAACGCTCGAGTATTTACTACTACTAGTTTTGCTGCTATTTTCTATTTAGAAGTTTTACTAAATTGAAAGGACTTCAAAAATATCACTTCCCATTCAATCCAAGGTTAAGAATGGCAAATTTGTTGCTAAATTAGATGACATAAGGTACCTACATACCCTCCTTAACATTTTCCTAAGCTAGTTCTTAGGACCTTAGCTTAACTTAGAATTTAGTTACCTTCTTAAATGTGAACTTATGACCAAAAATGAGAAGACAAAAGAAACAGATTTAAATAAAATCCATGTTGAGAAAATATGAAGAGAGATGGGTTCTACGGGCTAAGAGATCTAAAGCCTATACTTAGTATCATTCTGTGCATTCAGTAATCAACAAATTTCCCAAGACAGACAAATGATGCAATCAACTGCAGACCAGGGCCAAGGCGAGGCCACAGCCAAGCAGTTGTAAATTTGAGAGGCCTCCTTACTTGTCTAGCAGCGAAGTTTTGGGGGTTGAGCCCTGTGCCGATTGCTCCAAGGCTGACGTTGGGTAGTGTGGAACCAGAGGGAGACAGCTTGTAGCTGGGAGAAGGGGAGAAGGGAGAGCAGGGAGCCTCATCCCCAAGGCACCCATCTTGATTGGAGAAAGGCAAAGTCAGCTGAAAAGTAGTAGGAGTTAGCCAATCACAATGAGTGTTGGTTAGTGAAGCAACAGAATGCAAGAAGGGACAAGAGAGAAACACTAGGAACAAACAGAATTAGAGTGTATTAGCAATAAACGAGGATGGAATTTGGATCTGATAAGAGTCATCACACTTGGCCCAAGAGACACCATCTGTCATCTCAGATACGGATTTTTTCTTATCCTGTAAGTCAGTAACACATTCTGTCCATTGCACTAGGATAAAAATTGCCAGACACTTTATTTTTATGCATCTAATATTGATTACTCTATGTGGCTGCTGAAAGAGAAGCCAGAATAAGCTTCTTGGGAATCTGTTGCTGCCTGGAACAGCATCATCAGTAGTGTCAAAAATGTGCCAGATCTAAAACTTTTGGTTTTAATTGCTTTCTGAAGATCCAGGGCTATGGCAAATCAGTATTCTGAATCAAGGAATTATTTCCTCCATCAGGAATGATAAAAATAAAAAGAACTAGGTATAAACAACTTCTTTAAATCAGGTAGTTGAGAATTTGGACAGTACACCATTGTAACTAAAAATAGGTCACTAGGAATGGAGAAAGAACAAAGGAACTCTCTTAGAAATAACAAAAGAGAAAGTTCTGGGCCAGCTTGACTAAGCTAGAAGGCAAGGCCTGGGGAGATCCGGATTATTTGCACAAGATCCCAAATTTAATTTCTCATTGTATAGTAGCAGAAAAAAGAATTCAGAATAAATTTGTCTCTAAAATTTCTTCTACATGTTTCGAGTGTGCATTTCCCCTACTGTAAAAAGTCAGACCATTCATTTCCCCCTTCCAAACTTCATAAAATTTCTAAACACTCAGACCTTGTTCACAATACTCACATACTAAAGACAGATGGTTCTAGCTTCTGCCTAATCACCTATTGACATCAACTGTTTTTACATCACCACTTACATGCAGGTGATGTTTGCGTTTTGCTCATTAATTAATTCAGTAATTCTATGCTTCCTCCTGGAACTGATTACCAAAAGAACAAATGGGAACCAAAGTGGTTCGCATCAATTATGGTCTTAAACAAAGGACTCGACTCACCTTCTCGAAATAAGGCCCACTATCTGTGGTTCCCATGTCTTTGGAATTAGGTGGACGGAACCCAGATCGATCCTTCCTCATGATATCATTAAAATCCCCGAGATTCATCGCTCGCTTGTCCACGTCAAATTTTTTATCTGGAAGGCTCCCTGAAAAGGAGCACAGAAGAAGTGAAAATTTCAAGAACCAATGTCTCCCTCATGACGAGGAGTTCTAGCCCCACTCTCTTCCCTGAGGTGTTGGGTGTAGACCACAAGGGATCTCGTTGGTTCAGGCTGCTGGGGACCCTCCCTGGAGCACATGTGGGTCCTTTTGTTCCTTTTTAAAAAACTCCTATCAGTTGTAGCTTGTTTTCAATGGAAGACTGAAAGAAAGACTTAGGGCCAACCTGGTAAAAATCTGACTAAAAAAATATTTCCACTGGTTATTGATATGTTTGATGAATATCACTTGCTCATAAACTCAAATGTGCTCAGGGAGAAAATTTGTCTCTTGCCCTTTTAGCATCTGCTAGATAAATGGGTGGGGCTATGAAACAGTTATTGGGGATAAAAAGGCCTCGTGATTTCCCAGGTACCATGGTTATTCCTCCTTTTCTTCACAGCTCTGGAAATTTGCTGTTATACACTGACATGATCAGTGCCCCTGGAAGCTTACTTTTTTGTTATTCTTAGATTTTAAAATATCATAGATCAGAGGCTATTTCCCTTATGACCCAGGACTGTTTTCCTTTCTTCCTGGTTTGATTCTTTTTAAGTTCCTCAAGGTGAGCAACGGTGTCACGGGGATGACCCCACAGACGAAGGGCTGACATGGCGTCTGCCCCACCAGCAGTGGGGGTGCTCGTCAATAATGCAACACCCCAGCGCAGACGGGACTAGCAACCTGAGGGCAGAGGATGGCAGGGCCACAGACACACTGGGTTCGGCCACACACCACAGTTTTTAACCATCTGAATTAGGTTCCAATATTTAAATATCAGGCTCTCAATGTATGTCTAAATTTCTGGCCCTGCTTGAAAACTGGAAGCTCTGACAAGGCTGAACCTTTACTCTCCAGGGCAACAACCGCTAAGGGCCAAGCAAGGCTGAGTCCTTTATCCTTTACGTGGTACACAGGCCGCCCACAGCTAACCAGTGGCCTCCAACTCCCACCTGCTTACACCTGGCACACACCATTCATTTACGTGACTTTCCTGGATCCTGCAGCTGTTTGGAGTTTTCAACCCTTACCTAGCGTCTAGGATGGTCCTTCATGTCTGCTGAGCAGCACCCATCCCAACTCAAACTGAGCAGGGACCCAACATGGCATCATTAACAACAACATACTCCATTCATATTAGTGGAGTGATACACACCTACAGACAAATCCATTTTGCTGCCTGGATTATCTTCAGTTTGACTCTGAAAAAGCAGCAACAGGGAGGGAGGATTAAAGGTTTGAATTCAAAGTCTGGATCAGAGGACAAAAATGGCATTATTTACATGCGAGCTCTGGCGTCTTACAGGCATATACAAGATTCTTCCGACGTGAACCTTACACTGGGATGAAGACAAGATCACTTAGGATACGACTAATTTGACTGCTGTTGGGTGTCTATATTTCTAAATTCAATTTTCACACAGAAGTAGCTTCAGTAATTCTATGGACAGGGCAATAGTTAAGTAGCTGCTTAGAGAAATAAAACCCTGCTCAAGTTCCAGTCGGCTCAGGATCAAATTCCACGAGTGTCAGCCAAATGATGACAACTTCTTCTCGTGACTTGTCAAGTCATCAAATCTGGTAATGAGCAGCCAAGTCAAGCTATTTGTCTTTTGGCAACCAGGGACGGGGTGTCCCCACGATGTTCCCAAGAGAGAAGGAAAAAAAAAAGAGGAATCCTACAAGAATTCCTTATGTAATTAATTACAAATACTTTCTCTAGTTATTTTGCTCTTGCTGCCGTTTTCAAAACTGTAAGATTAACACTGGTACAGCAGCAGTCAGGGAAAATTATGTAAGTTTTAAGGCCTGGCTCTTTCTTCCTCTAAGCGCCTAAGGAAAAGGATACAAGGACTACAAATTCAAAAGCCGTAAGCTTTAAATATTGGAGTATTTAATTAAGAATAAGCGAATAGAGGATAAATACTGCTTACTCCAAATCAGAAACATTGCTTAACCAGTTTCTAACTCTGTAATGTTGTATTCTGTGTGGCAGCGGTCTTAGCATTTGTACTAAAAGTAAAAGCTGGGCTGTATTACACATGTAAGAAAATGAAACTTACCAGCAATCCCATATTTGAAAACTGTTTGGCAAGAGGATTCATCCATGAATCATTGTTTCCTCCTTTCAGTGAGCACTACAGAAATGAAATATGTAACCTCAGAACCAAATTATTTTCTCTCACTTCATATCTGAGTTGCATTTAAGTACTGATTGAAAATGCAGAACCAACAGTTTACCTTTTTTAACCCAAATTTCCCTCTTTAACTATGGTTATTTTGATATTTTATCCGTTAGTCTGAAAGATTAATAAGCTTTAGATCTATCTGTGTTTTCATGCTTATTCTATTCGTCACACTGAATTAGAAGTAACTGGAAAAACATTGGTCAGCTGGGCTGTTGTTTTTTTTTTTTAAGATTTTATTTATTTATTTGAGAGAGAGAGAGAACACAAGCAGGGGGAATGGCAGAGGGAAAGGGAGAAGCAGACTCCACACTGAGCAGGGAGTCCAGTGCGGGACTCAATCCCTGGACCCCAGGATCATGACCTGAGCTGAAGGCAGACGCTTAACCGACTGAGCCACCCAGGCACCCAGGTCAGCTGGTGTTTTTACCTTATAAACAGAAGGAAATATCAGATCTTCTAAAATACAATGTTTGCATGCTAGTACTTTTCCTTTTACTATCTCCTTGTAACCCGGTTTGTATTAGAAAAAAAGAAAGAGTTCAATGCTAGTGCCTGTTATTTGGAAAATAAATAGGCACTAGCCTGTTAAAACAGACTATTTAAGCTGGTCATTAGTCTCTGTGTGGATACAATGAGGACTCATCCACACACCCTTCATCTGCTTGTTTCACAGTATAAACAACAGGGGTCCCCGTGGGAAAAAGGCCCTAACAGAACACATCACTGATCTTACTGCAAAGGCAGGCAGGCGCTGAGTTTTTCTTTTTTTTTTAAGATTTTATTTATTTATTTATTTGAGATAGAGCGAGCATGAGCAAGAACGGGGCAGGGGGAGAGGGAGAAGCAGGCTTCCCGCTGAGTGGAGAGCCCGATGCGGGGCTTGATCCCAGAACCCTGGGATCATGACCTGAGCTGAAGGCAGACGCCTAACCAACTGAGCCACCCAGGCGCCACTGAATTTTTGTTTCTTAAAGGACCTAGTTTCTTCCTGAAACACGACACCCAACATCAGCTCCCCTTTTACTTCTACGGAGAAGGCAGGTAGAACTGTGATGAGGCCTTGGTGGGGGCAGGGGGTGATGGGGCTTTGTGCACTTGTACATTCTACAAATAAAAACTCTGTGTTTTGATGATATTTGTTATGTCAACTTTATTATTCTTGAAAGTGAGTAAGTTCACTAACGTTAAAGGTTTTAAGGTCAAGAAAGCCCTCAATGGAGGGGTGGGAGAATTAGTAGTTCCTGTTTAACGCAAACAGTTTCAGTTTTGCAGACAAAAAGAGTTTTGTGGCGAGACGTGGTGGCGGCTACACAACAGCGTGAATGTACTCAATGCTACTGAACTGTCTGTGCACCTAAAAATGGCTAAAGTGGTAAATCTCACGTTATCTGCCTTTGATCACAATCAGTAAAAAGAAGGCCCTGGATACAAAAGGTCAGAACTGTCAGTCATGGGGCAGAAACACTGCATTCCCACTGAGCTGGATCAATTACATCTTGGGGCCACCCGAGTGGACCAGCACCTTTCCCTCGCTTGATTCCCGTCAATCAGCAGTCTCCCTCGACTGTCTTTTCATTCCGTCTCACTGGGAATTTGTAAATGACAAAAACAAAGCCACAGCAAGCCAGACAACATGAGAGTACAAAGATGCTGAGAAATTTACTGAATAATTACTTCTGTGACTAGGGGGAGGAAACAGAAGTCCTTAGAAGGCAAACTGTAACTGGCTGCTTAAACAGGATGCCTCCAAAAGGAACTACCTGTGTTCTTAGGCTACTGAGTTACCGTATTCAGCACAAAATTAATATCCTACAGCAAAGGGGATGAAGGTACAGCCCCCTTAGCCAACTGAAGACCTTCCAGGAGGGTACTTGGTATTGGAAACCAGGACAATATTCACTGTGAAATGTTTCACAGGGCAGCAAGGCTCCCATGTTGAAATTAAATATATGACTGCCCATTCTTTATTTCCATCAATTTATCTGCAGAAGGGAAAGAACGCCTCTGCTGAGAGAGTGGTTCAGGTTCAAAGACTCGTTCTAGATTGAAACCAAAGTTCTCATCAAATTACGCAGATCAAAGTGGAAACTGAGTTGCTCTAAGACAAGGAAAGTGACAATTTTATTTTTTTTATTTATTTATTTTTAAATTAAGAAGGCTCCATGACCAGTGTGGAGCCCAGTGTGGGGCTTAAACTCACAACCCTGAGATCAAGACCTATGCTGAGATCAAGGGTTGGATGCTTAACCAACTGAACCACTCAGGCGCTTCAGAAAGCAACAACTTTAGAACACAACCCGGTATGGGATGTAGATAAATCAGCCGGTTGCTACAGTAAGGTTACGCACTGGCACTTCACTTTGTTGGAAGAATGGTTCTGGGTTTTGGAATTTCCTTAATCGGATAAAAACCAGTCATGCTGATCACCACTGGAGAAGCTATCTTTCTTTGTTTCTCTTCTATATATCATGGGGACTTACCCTAAGGACTTCCTTGGCTTTAGAATGCAAAAGCATAAAACATTTATAAAGTGTGCCTTGAAAACTTCCAAAGAGTTATTATCATATGGAAACTAAAAGTGGAAAAAAATCTCCTGTCTTTGAAAATTCCACTTTGCTCACAGCAACAGCTCCGTAGTTCGAGGTTTCAAGGTCATGGGGAAGGAAGATGAGGAGTAAAGAGGAAGTAATTATTTGCTCTTGAGAAAGTATTTTCCCCCTTATTTAGGACCTCAGGGACTCCTTCCATTAGAAAATTCTCAGTTCTGCCTTCTAAGAATGAAGAAACAAGCTCAAACATTTCTAAAGTGGGCTACCTTCATTTGCTTCTTTCCTCCTTGTCCCCAGCTTGCTGAGTTGTGGGAGGAAGCACTTCCCTGAGAGCCGGCGGTGTTCCAGACTCCTCCATCATCCTCCTCTTCCCAGCTGGGATGGCGAGTTCCCGTCACTGGACCATCACTCTCCCCCCAGCCATCTTGCATAGATTTGGAATCTTTAAGAAAAGAATGGATCAACCCTATGTAACAGCTGTATATGACAATACCCACAATGATCAGTCCTTATGAATGCAGCATTTTAGGGTATTTGGCATCTTATCTAATCCATCTATATGGTGAGGCAAACATTCTAGCCCCTTCCACATTCGTATTACCCAGACAAAGGGAAGGTGTAAGTATAGCTTTAACTATAGATATAGAAGATCCTGAAGAAGACAAGACATTTTTTAAACTGTGAAGGTTTTGTGATGGAAGAAGGGTGATTCTAAGGTTGGGAAAGACACAGAAAAATCCTGACAGTACTGCTGAAGTATCTCCTTGTGCCAAAGGTCTGGTTAATGTCTTCCAACAGCCATTTTGGATCTATTTCAAGTTTACAGCGTGGTATTTCCCATGATGATACAACCAATTTTACAGTGAAAATCATGATGAAATCATGGTCTTTATAAAGCTATTTCTCTGAAGTGAAGTAGATTCATAATTTTTAAAATGCAAGTTACAGACACAAGAATGAATTTCTAGGATACAGCTAAGACTGTACTTCATGGGGCGCTGTAAGAGTCATAAATGTCATACAATAAAATTGACAACAGAATTTATTATTCTTGTTCAAATTTTGAGCATACAGTATGACCACATTTTTAAATCAAAAGATCATTCCTTAAGTCTGCAGTATGGCAGAAAAGAGATGTTGGAATACTTTTTAAGAAAACGACAAACAAGTGAAACTTGAAACTGAATTTTTCAACTGAGGAACATCCAATGAGACATTCCATAGCATCGGTTTACAAAGTTTTACAAATTACTGTGACTAAACATTGCCAGTTGGATCAAGGATAGCTTAGACTTTCAATGATTATGAATAAGTGTGACATGCTTTGTATAAAACACTCAAACGAAGAAATCTTTGTTGGGTTCAAGAAACCTTATGTGTTCCTATGTGGGTGGAAGTATGAGAGGAGAGACAAAGGGACGAGGAAGAAACAGAAGGATAAAGTCACTGAGTAGCAGAGACTGTGTTCCACAGTAAAAGCCAGGAAAGTCTTTTTAAAAACTATACTAACAAAGGGGCAGAAATGCAAAAGAGAGATGGTGAGCAATATTTAAATTACTGGCAAAAAAAGCACCACGTCAACATTTCAATTCTGGCCAGATACTAAACCGAACATAAAAGAAAATCAACAAAATTAACTTCTGACTTCTAGACTGTAAACATGTTAACATATGCACAGCTAAGTCACTGCCATTTGGTACTGATCATTTATCAAAGGTTCACGGTCCTCAGTCTCACTGAAACAACAGTTTAAACATCAGAACACCCCACCAAAATGTCTGGCCCCCAAATTAATGGAGACTCCCTCACAAATAATGCTGTACACTTACTAGGTTTCATGGCATTTGGAGCATTGGAGGGTGCGTTCCCCCAGCCTGTGGTCGATGCTCCTGTGTCATCCATTTCACCCCACCCAGGACTGCTTTCGTTTGGCTCACCCCAAGCTGAAGTACCATTATCTGGAGCAGGTGGTGTGCTTTTGCTCCAGACTGCAAAGAAAGAAAACGGCTCTCTAAGAATGATCTGTTAAAGGAAACATCCTAACATCCAGGGAGCAGATATGGGGTGGGGGTGAAGGTAGGAGGAACAGGCACTCCTCTATTCTGTTGCCAGAAATACGAATGGGTTCCACCCTCATGGAGGCAAATGGCATTGTCACTTTAACTTTTGGCCCAGCAATTCCACTGCCAGGGAATTATACCATAGATATACTTGTAAAGTACATAAAATTACATGTACAACAATGCTCACTGTATCACTGTTGGAGGCCATTTGGAAGCGACCTAAATATCTATCAAAAAGGGACTGGTTAGGCCAATTGTGTCACCCATGAAATAAATACTGTACACAAAGCAAATAAAAGACAAAAATGTATGTGCTAACATGGAAAGTTTTAAAGTATGATGAAAAAAAGCAAGGTGAAGAACAGTGTATATAGTACAATCCCTTCTGTGTAAAAGCTGTAAAGGATAGATATATTTAGCTATAGGTATGAACAAAATTTTTGAATGAGACACAAAACTCTAAGGGATCACCTGTGGGAAGAGACCCTAGGGGCTAAGATTCTTTTATTTATTATATTTTGCTTTTCTGTACAGTTTGAAGGTTTTTACTATATGGGTAATAATTTTTTTTCACATGTTAGCAGGTTTTATGCTGGACAGGGAATTAATGAGCAATCTTTATTTCCTTCTTCATTCTTTTCAATATTTGAGGGGAAAAAAAAAGAACCAGTTAAAAGCAATCATTTTCTAAGTGGCCATAACTGCATTCACTCAACAGTATGCTTACTTGAGGAGTGGAAAACTAAATATTAATTCTACCTTAAAAACAAAACCAAAAACTCCACCTGAACAGGGCATCCCCCCCTTAATTTGTTGAATTATATGCTTTATGGGGACATTCAAGTTGACGATGCCAAAGATGGTATTACTAGCACTACTTTTAATTTACCAGGTATGGGGTTTCTATTCAAATAGAGCAAGAAGAAAGTTTAATTCTGGGCACCTGATTATCATGAGAGAACAATTTCTTACATGAAGTGCTCCACTTCCAGAGGTGATCATTAAAAGTCATCTGGAAAGTGACTGAGACCTTCCAGATCCCAGCTGTGCCACAGCATTGCCATGGCCCCTTCGAGAACACCACAGAATACTTCCCTTCGCTGGGGAAGGAGAAACACAGAGGATATGTCCACGGGTAGAGACTGAATGGAAATCAGGTCTATTTCTGCTACTATTTTAATTCTTCACTTTTAAATCTGGAGCATAGTGTGTTTAGCAAGACATGTTCTTTGGATTCTACCAGACCAATACAATTACAAAAAAAACCCCCAAAAAACCACAAACTTCGGGAGACTACCACAGGGATGCCATCTTATTCCTTTTGCCAAGAAAGAACATTAAAATGTACCACCAGCATCTGTTATCGCTATCATTTTATAAAAAGAGAGCTTCTGTTAACAGTAGAGTAGGTTAATGTACAAAGATTTCCAGAACAAAGCCAAGCTGAATAAATGCAGCTTAATAAAAATGCCCTGGTTTAGGATTTTTCTTTATCAAACCCACAAGAAGCAGCCATTGCCTACCTGATGCTGATTTACTGGTCATGGGGGTAGGCAGGTTTGGTTCTCGAGGTGCTGGGCCCCCTTGGGAATTCTTATCCCACAGATTCACATTCTTGTAGTTGTAACTGTTGGGGTCTCCCCACGCCGAAGTGCCATCATCGATGTCCATTTTCCGACTAATTGACTGTGGGGATGGCTCTTCCCAACCGCTGGGTTCCTCATCCTTAGGGGTTACTGGCTGTGGCCCGCTGCTCCAGTTGGAATTGGAAGGTCGTCCGTTGCCTGGAGGTGGTGGGGGTGGGCCTCCCCAGGAACCAGAAGCCTCTGGTTGTGGTGCCGGTGGCTGTTGTGGCTGCTGCTGTTGGTGCTGTTTATTCCAGGAACTGGGCTGTCTGCCGGTCTCAGTCCACGCTGGAGACCTTTTGCAATCTTCCCAGCCGCCTTTGGAAGCTAGGCTTGCATTCCCACTGTTCCCCCAAGTTCCAATTTCATTCTGCCCTCCTTCACCCCACCCAGACACAGGTTTACTTGCAGAACTTTCCCAACTGCTGTTTTTCGCTTGATCAACTTCCTCTCCCCAACCATTCTTCCCAGAAGTCCATCCTTGATTGGGCTGGCGTCCCCCTCCCCACCCCTGATCCTTGCTGGAGTTCTCATTCCAAGAGGAAGAAGTCTTTTCATCTGGTCGTGCGCCTCCCCAGTTGGAAGAGTTGTTCTTGTAGTCATTCCAGCCTCCTGTGTTCTTGGGGTCTTTCCACTCTGTAGAGGCTGAGAGCTCCCCCCATCCAGACTTCATTTGATTGCTTTGGCTGGGTGCGTCTCCCCAGCCCCCTGAGTTCTTGGTCTGTGTGGCAGCGCTCTCCCACCCCTCAGTTCCTTTGTCAGATTTCCCCTCAGGCCTTGGCACCTCTTCAATATCCCACACTGTGTCCTGCTTAATTTGAGTTTGGCCCCAGCCAGTGTTTGAGAGCACCCTGGGGTCCAAATCAGTTCGGCTCAAAAGAGTCTGTAAGACAGCCTGACAATCAGGATGTGTGGGCCGGTATGACCGACGGCCAGAATTATGACTGTCACTACTTCCTGCTTTGTGGTTGCTTCCAGTGCTTTGACCTCCAACTTCACTTCCTGTGGAGCTGGAAGATCTTCCCCAACAGGGAGCCTGGGCATTGCCTTGGTTTTCAGGGAGGGGGTGGCCCTTTTGATTGTCCCATGCTCCAGTGCTAGAATTTGGTTGGTTTGGACCACTCCATTCTCCAATTTTCAACTCATCAGACCCAGTCGGCTGTTTCCATTCTCCCTGAGAGACCCCAGATGTCATTTTGTTCCCTTCACCCCATTTGTTGTCATTAGAGTCCTGAGGGCCAAAATTCCAGGACCCACCCGTAGACCTGTTATTGTCCCAAGAGTCATTTTTTGACCCAGATGATTTCTGAACAGAAGCTCCTTTCCAGGAGTCCTCTCTATCCTTTCCATTGTTCCCATTGTTTCCAGAATTGCTTTGTCCAGAGGCTGTGTCAGTTCCAGAAGGCCCCCTAGCTGCACCCCAAGATCCAACACTCCCAGTCTTTCGATCTCCAGTGCTTTGTGAAGGGGCATCAGTGCTCCTGGAGGCGTTCCCCAAGCCCATTCCAAAGGGCATTCCCTTATTCTCCATGGGGTTTGGTGAACTTAAGTTCAAGGAGTTAGTGTTTCCATTTTTTGGTCCATCAGTGTTATGAATTTGAGCCTGTTCTCTGCCAGAGACAACAAAATTAACACCCGCATTTTCCATCTTTGACTGCTGTTCCCTGGATGCCTGACCTACTGTGCTAACCTGTGCACTGGAATTACTAGTATCCGTTTCCAATGCCCCTTTCCTAGAATTTCCTTCTTGGACCAGCGCTGGCCAGGCAGATGGGTTGCTATTTGGGTTAAAGTTGCTGAAGCCAGAGCCAGGTCCAATTCTATCCTGACCACTCACATTCCTCCAATTTCCTAGTCCATTGTTGCTCTCTGTAGTAGAGTTGGAAGATTGAACAGATTTAGTCTTAGGGTCAGATTTCCAGACCCCAAGATTACATTCGTTCCCAGAACTTGCAGACTGGCACTGGCTCCCTTTTCCTTTGTTACTAGTGGTGCTTCCTGGCAGAGTGCTCTTCTCAGAGCCAGGGTTCGAGGCACTGTTGTTATCGGTGGTGTTTTCGGAAGAAGACTCAGTGTCTTTGCTGGCAATACAAGGCCACTCTTCCATGTCAGACCCGTCTACAATCACCTTGTCCCGGATGTGAATTGGGTTGGGGGAGGCGCCGTTGTTGGAGGAGGCTCCCGGGCCCCAAGTGGAATTTGCATAATTTGAAGCAGCAGCACCTCCAAGGGTTGACTCTGGGAAAGAGATTATCTGATCAATCACAGCTACACATGCATGCTCTACTAACACCTCAAGCTCAAACTGCCCCTAAGAGAGCTCATCACGTTTCCCCACAAACTAATTTCTCTACCCAGTTGCCCTTCTTGGTTAACTGTGCCACACCTGCTCTAGTCATCTCTTCTCTTTCATTCCGCTGGGGTGGCGTACTGCTAAGTGTAAATCCACAACATTTCTCAAAGCTGTCCGCTTGTCATTCCTATTGACAGAGAAGGGCCTTCTTATATCTTGAGACAATGCAGTAACATGCTGAACCTGCTTTCTATTTCCAATATACTCTAAACATTCCTGGCTAGAGTAATTGTTCTGAAGCACCCCTTCAATTAGATCACCGGTGTATGGGAAGTTTCCAACAGTTTCTTCGTGCACAAGAACAAAGCTAAACTCTTTGGCCTGGAGTTTGATCAAGATGCTGCACAACCTGGGACCAACTGACTTTTCTAGTCTTATCTTGCACTACTTTCTACGTGGATGCCACACTCCTCGATAGTCCATGACTTGTGCCTTCTCGCCCTGGCACTATTCCACACTGGCAGCTACTGGCTTCCCTTCCTGGATTCATATACTGAAATTGGTCCATCTTTCTGGGCCTAGTTCAAGTGCCGTTTCTTCTATGAGGGTTTTTGGTTCTGTTTTGTTTTTGTTTTTTTAGTTCATCACCTGAAAATAACCCTTCCCTGTCTGGAGCCATTTTGCTCAGTGCCGTGGTACTGTGTTCACATCTACCTTCCCCCACATTAGCACCAGAGACTCCCCCAGAAGCTCCCCCTCTTAGGCAGAGACCCTATCTTGCTAATGTTTGAATTCCTCATAGTGGCCAGTGCGTGGCTGCTCAGTAAGCATCTGATGAATGATGAATGCCCACCCAGCTAGATGCTGGGGCAGACGAGCATGAATCAGTCTGCATGCCCAAGGAACTCAGTCTTATAAATTAGTCTGGCTCAGCACATATTTTGGTGGAATTTGTCATATTTAGTGGGAAGAAAAATGACATGTTTTAACCCAGTAATTTCTTCTGAACTTGTTTTAGTTATTTTAACCAAGCAGCTTTAAATCACTATAAGGTTGAAAAAATATTACATAGAGCCATGTTAATAGGAAAGCAGAGAATCTCCAGCTCTTGAGATTTAGGGGTCTCCTTGGTTTTAAGAATGCAAATGAGAGAGTACTCACACTGGACTCATGTCTACATCCAGGCTGGCTAGATTTGGCTGCAGAAACACCCGATGTGACCACCCCTCACATACTTCCTTTTGCAACTGCTTATGAGGGGCCACAAGAAGGAAGGGCCATGAGGCTTTTTCCTGCCTGCTTTGGGCCTGACCTGACGGCCACCACAGAAAAGTCTGCATAAAGCTTGTGTAACCGTGAGGTTTCTTTCCATCTTTACTCTGCACAAGAGACAGTGATAGAATTTTCTAAGGCAATTCTATGTTCAAACTCAGAACTAGAAAAAAGCATGCTCAGTTAACAATAACCAATTCATTGTTCTTGCCAAGGCTTGATGATGTTCAAGCTCTGAATTTTAGTATAGCCTCAAAAAACATTTTAAGAGCTAAGGGGAAATCTGTTAAAAGCTTTAAACAAAGGGGGGGGGAGGTGATGTTTGGAGGTTCTTAGCTGTTAGCTGATTTAGTATTCATCTTTAAAAACTCTCAAAACTCGTAGAGACTTTCTGCTGAAGATTCCTTATATCTACATCCAGTTTTGTTTTGTTTTATTTTTTTAAGTAGGCTCTATACCCAATGTGGGGCTCGAACTTACGACGCCAAGATCAAGAGTTGTATACTCTGCTGACTAAGCCAGCCGGGTGCCCCTACATACAGTTTTTAACAAAGCTCAAAATCCTCTGAAGAAACAATGATTTTAAAAATCTAATAAGAAACTATAGAATGATATTATTTGATCTCTCCCCCCCCTGACCAAGATTCTACACAGTAATCTAAGAGACGGCTGTCTCTAGACCCGCAGCGTTCTGAGAGCATAAACACAGGCAGGTAAGATTCAGAACAAGCCTGCGCACTAGTCTCATCTCCAACCGCAGCCGGAGCACACGCTGGTGCTGACGGCTGGACCTAGGGAGGCTCGAGGTTATAATGTGCTTGTCTGAGAAGGAGAAAAGGTCTCAAACGGCGATGACCAACAGCAGCCGCATTAGCCTCTCATGCCAAGAGCACATGCTGGATGCTAGCATCCAGTTCCAGAAGAGAGGTGCTGGTACGCGTTTCCTACCGGGATCCTCGCCCTGTCTTCTGAGTGACCCCGAGAGTCTAGCTAATGAAGGGTTTGGTGGCCTCTATACCGGGCAACACAGAAGAAGCGCTCGCTCTCTTCCAAGCTGCCGCGGAATCCACTCCCGACACGGATTCCTCACCTGGTGCAGTCCCACCGTCCCCCTGCAGCAGCGTTCCTGTCACTTGTGCGTTGTTTGAGTTTGCTCCAGGTGCTGTGGAGGGAGGAGGCCCTGCCCCACCCCCGAGGAGCATGCAGGACGGCGGAGGGGGCTGCCCACGTTTTAGTAACACTTTGTGGTCCTGCTGGCAACGGAATCGCGGCGGCACCTCCCGAGGCATGTAGCGGGCGGCGCTTGGCGGTTGTCCGTTCGGCACTGCCACCCTTTTGGCATTGTTGCCACCATTGACTGGTGGCGATGGAGAGCTGCCAATTGGGCTGGCGGCCGTTGGTTGGCTTAAACTTGGTTTCGTCACTTCGGGCACTGAAAGAGAGAGATTGGGAAACAGCCTTTGAAATCAAATACATTTTTCTAAAAGTTGCTTTTAAGAAAGCTTACATGAGACCAATTCCCATAAGACAACTCTTCTTCCATCCTACTGTGGATGGACGTGGTCCTTCTAAGCTCCCCTGCATCTTCAGTTTCCTGGAGGTATGGCAGAGGTGCGGAGTGATGGTGACGAGGGCTCAAACAAAGACAGCCAGACCACAGAATTCCATTCCATTGATTAAGGGGGAGGGGAAGCAATCACCATCAACTCCCCTATATCCCTGAAGGGCTGCCCAGCAAGTCTGAGGGTACATATGGGCCCCAGGCAAAGCCCTTGGTAAAGGTTCAAGGCTCTCAACCGGAATGCCCTTGCCCTTTATCCACCTTCTTAAAGACCTACCTCGGAGAAACTTTTCTTGAAGTCCCTGGACTAGGTAGGCAAAGCACCTTCGTTTGTGCTCCTGGAACACACTGTCCATCTTTCTTTACCATGAATTGATCATATTATATTGAAATTCTCATTTACAAGCTCCTCACCCAAGAGTCCCTCAAGGGTAAGGACCCACCTTTCTTTCATCTTTTTTTCTTAGGGCCTGGCACAGAGTAGACCCCCATAGGAAACCTCAGCCCTGGAGAATTACAAAATCAACTAGGTTTTGGTTTTTACAGCTACCTGAACTCAAACACTCTTGCTTCGCACTCTGTGTAAATAATTAGAAACATTATGAACTCTTTTGCTCATGTCAAAAAAATTTTAAGGGTACCTTGTGTATTTATTCCAACTCTTTATTTAAAATAAAAATTTCAGGGGCACCTGGGTGGCTTAGTTGGTTTAGCATCCGACTCTTGATTTCAGCTCAGCTCATGATCTCAGGGTTGTGAGATCAAGTCCCGCACTGGGCTCCGCACTGGGCATGGAGACTAAGATTAAGATTACTTTCTCTCTCTCTCTCTCTCTCTCTCCCTCTGCCCCTCCTTTCTCTCTCTCCTGCTCTAATAAAGAAAAAAAAAGTAAAATGAAATAAAAATTTCAAATAAAACTAAATAAAAATTTCAAAATGTAGGTATTTTTACTACTCATTTTAAAGAATTTAATGTTTTACTTTAAAAAATGGCAAATAGGAAGTCTGGAACGTGCCGGATGACCGTAAAGATATACTCTCCAGGACCCTCTGGTTTTCCCCTCAACCCTACAGAGAATGTTCTTCTGCACCTCCTTTGCTTCATCCTACCAAAAGACTGCCACCCTTTCTAAGAAAATCTACCTGGCAAACAGAGGCTGGCAATGTTACAGAAACAACCATTGAGCCTGATAATTCAGATGATTCTGAGGCCCAAATCCCTGACATCCAGAGGAATGTTTGGGCCAGCTCTGGTGGCAGTACTGCTCTGACTGCTGAAATGATGCTAGGCCAGCATGTTGCTCGTTGAACTGGCTCCTTTATGGAGAGAGAGACATCATCAGAAATCAGGGGGCCCAATCTACTCCCACTGGACATTGATGAGCATTGTGAGTAACAAGAACAAAGAGTAGGAGCCTGAAGTCACTTCAAGGCAACCCCTGGTCTAATCTTAGCCAATCATGAGGCAGTCCTGCGTCTCCCAGTAAGGAAGGGAAGTCAGAGGATCCACAACCTCTGAGTAGGATAAACCTATCTCTTGAGAAAATAAGTTGGTCATTGTCTGATATTATCAGTATATAGGCTCTGCATGACCTATAACAGCCGATAGATAAAAATAACTGATAAATGAAGATGAATTATTCAGTGATTCATTTTTTATCTGTGCCCGTAAGATTCCCATAGCAGATGGCATTCCCAATCCCCTTTCCTCTTATTATGAGAATAAACAAGAAGCTGGCAAGGGCTGGGAGGAGTCTTCCCAATTGGTTTTTAGGATGGAAGGAGCTATGCTTCTGTGAGGCTGCCTTGACTCATTTCCCTAAAATAGAGTAAGACATAGTACGAGCATCCTACAGCACTGAGGTCTGAACATCAGTTCGACTAACAGAGGAGAGGGGCATTAAGATAGAGTAGGAATTACTTTTACCCTCTCATTTCTATTCTGCACCTTAATGATTTGTAGGGCAAATCTTTCTAAAAATGAGCTGCTCAAAATGAGGGCATACTTCCTTATTTTCCATAGAAAAGGTCTGTGGCTTAAACATGACCTCTGTATCAAAGGAAAATACAGACATTGTGAAAAATGCTGGGTATCCTATTTTCTGATTTCCTTTCATTGATTTCCAAGAACTAATGACTGAATCTTTTTCCTTTCCCTCTCAGCGTTATTCTCATCTTATAGTTTGAACTTCTAAATTACCTCTATTTCTGAAAATCTTCAATAAAATGCTACTTTTGCAGAATGTAAGTATTTTTTTTTTTTTTAGAAATATTTATTTATTGGGGCGCCTGGGTGGCTCAGTCGTTAAGCGTCTGCCTTCGGATCAGGTCATGATCCTGGGGTCCTGGGATTGAGCCCCGCATCGGGCTCCCCGCTCCACGGGAAGCCAGCTTCTCCTTCTCCCACTCCCCCTGCTTGTGTTCCCTCTCTCGCTGTGTCTCTGTCAAATAAATAAATGAAATCTTAAAAAAAAAAGAAAGAAATATTTATTTATTTGTGAGAGAGAGAGAGCATGCACGAGCTGGGGGGGAGGGGCAGAGGGAGAAGCAGGCTCCCCGCTGAGCAGGGAGCCTGACTCTGGGCTAGATCCCAGGACCATGAGATCATGAACTGAGCCAAAGGCAGATGCTTAATGGACTGAGCCACCCAGGCACCCCTCAGATGAAAGTATTCTTTAAGAAAACCCTGAAACAGGCAGGACCAATACAAACTACTATTTTCTTTAAATATCTTGATAGTACGAACATAAAAAAACAAACTTCTAGAAATGTTTTAAAAGTAGTTAAAATACATAAAAAAGACACTGTTTTCGGCTGAAAATCTCTTGGTGAATAATCATCAGTTACAATGCAATACCAAAACTCTCAAAGACTGGGAACACACAGACAGTGGCCACCATGCACTGAAGAACTCTCAGTACCCTCTAAGCTCTGTCTCCATTTCTTTACCTTCTACTCACTTCTCAAACTCAATGCACCCTGGCTTCTGCCCTGAACATCTCCCTGGAAACCCATCTCCTCATCCAACAACTAGTGATCTTCATTGCCAGTCTAATGGACACTCGTCGCATCCTTTCTTCTTTGACTTTTCTGCAACTTCTGACACTACTGGCCATTTCCTCCCTGTCTCCGTGAGAGCTGCTGAGACCCACAATGGCCAGCTCTTCAGCTGTTCCTTTCTCTCTTCCTTTGTGGGTTCTCATACTCTTGGTCAGGGGTCAGCAAACTTTTTCTGTAATGGGCCAGACAGTAAATATTTTAGGCTTTGCTGGCCCTACAGTCTTTGTCATGATGACTCCACTCTTCACATGTAGGCAAAAGCAGCCACATACAATGTATAAACGAATGAGTGTGTTCCATACAACTTCACTTACTGCACTAAAATATAAATTTCATATCATTTTCACCGTCAGAAAATAGTTTTCTTTTATATTTTTTTCTAACCATTGAAAAAAATGTAAACAGACATTCCTAGCTCATGGGCAGTACAAAACCAGGAGGGGAGTCAGATTTGCCCGGAGGGTTATAGCTGGCTACCCCCTAATCAGAGTCGTAAGATGGCAGTTGAATTTGGTCATGAGTTGTGTCTTTTTTATTAAAGATTTTATTTATTTATTTATTTGAGAGAGAGCACGAGCAGGGGGAGTGGCAGAGGGAGAGGGAGAAGCAGATTCCCCACTGGGCAGGGAGCATGATGCGGACTCAATCCCAGGGCCCTGGGATCATGACCCGAGCGGAAGGCAGATGCTTAATTGACTGAGCCACCCAGGCGTCCATGAGTTGTGTCTTTAAAAAAAAAAAACCTGAACATGAACGTGGGGCCCACACTCTTCCCACATTTAAGTTACTTGAGTACAAGTTCCCCCATGTTCAGACTTTAACATTTATATGCAAGTGTTTCCCAAATCACTACCTCCAACTCAGACCTCTTTCACCCTTCTCTTCAGCCCTCCAACTTGTTCCCCAGCTCCCATTATCTCTTAGATCAAGGAATAGAGTCATCACCCAACCATCTTCTCAAGGAGGGAAACTGGAAGGTGTCTCAGACTTCGCTCTTTCCCTGCATATCATTATCCAATCATCATTATATCCCAATGAACCAAAGCATCTCTCCGATGCCTTCCTTCCTCCACCACCACCACTGTTTCTAACCAGGTTCAAGTCCTCATTACCTCCCACCTGGACTTTTCTATGCCCATCTATCTGAACCATATGTCATACCTCACATTCATTCACTCTCCAGAGGTAGCCAGTTCCATCTCTGAACAAATTGCTCCCACCAGTGTTAGAATACACAGGTGTTTCTACAAGGCGTGATGCACACTGTAAGTAGTTTAGTTTGTAAACTACTTACTTGGGTGGGAAAACCCACCTCAAATCTTAATAAATTAGAGTAGACTCAAGGTTATCCCAACCACCAACATGCCTTTACTAAACATGCCTTCTGGGGTAGACTCAGAAGACAGAGTTGTGGCCAATGGACCACAATGGTCTGTCATCCCAGGTATGCTGATGGGAAGGTGCCGTCCCTCAGCTGTGTCCCAGGTGGGGTAAAGGTCATGAACTGCTACTGTGGATGACAGTATCTAAAAATTTCAACTTATTTTGAGCTGGAAGCTTTTCCCCGTTGCTTTGCCTCTCACTATCAGTACTTTTGCTATGAGAATAAGTCTCACTGAACAAAACACCTGACAGATATTTACCAAGAGACTGCTAAGTGTCAGACACCAGAACCCTTCAAATCTTTGAAGACCATTACCTGAGCTTCCTCAGGTGGTAAGCCTTCCACTGAGGGTTAAGCATCTTCATGTGTTTAACCCTTCTGAAGGTGACACAGGCTCAAACTCATTGACCAATCTGTCCCAAACCCCACAGGCTCCACAGAAGTTGATTTCTGTCTCTACCCAGTGTGGTGCCTATTATAGGAATTGCAAATGCCTTCCTAGATACTGTATTTCTACAAATGGCACTTAAGGTCATGTCAGTCATTTTTTTCCCCAAGACTTTATTTGAGAGAGACAGAGAGAGAGAGTGCATGCACAAGTCGGGGCAGGGGCAGAGGCAGAGGAAGAATCTCAAGAAGATTCTGCGCTGAACACGGAGCCTAACATGGGACTGGATCTCACGACCCTAAGATCATGACCTGGGTCAAACCAAGAGACAGAGGCTTAACCAACTGAGCCACCCAGACGTCCCAGGTCATGTTAGTTTCTATAAATCAGTCATTTCATACTGATAACTACACCATTAAGCCAACCATGACCCTAACATCTTTTTAACAAGGCAAAATTGCTATGTCCAAACTCCTCCACTGCACAGTCTTTTTAGTCCTGATCTTTTTTTCCTTTTCTTTTCTTTCTTTTTTTAAAGTAGGCTATAGGCCCAGTGTGGAGCCTAATGCAGGGCTTGAAGTCATGACCCTGAGATCCAGACCTGAGCTGAGATCAAGAGTCAGACGCTTTTTTTTTTTCTTTTTTAATGTTACCAAGAGACTAGATTTTATTTTATTTATTTATTTATTTATTTATTTTAAAGATTTTATTTATTTATTTGACAGAGAGAGAGACACAGCGAGAGAGGGAACACAAGCAGGGGGAGTGGGAGAGGGAGAAGCAGGCTCCCCGCAGAGCAGGGAGCCTGATGCGGGACTCGATCCCAGGACCCTGGGATCATGACCTGAGCCGAAGGCAGTCGCCTAACCAACTGAGCCACCCAGGCGCCCAAGAGACTAGATTTTAATTGTTTCCACCATAAAAAAGAAATGACAGGTAATGTGATGTGATAGCTAATGTTATTGTGGTAATCATATTGCAATATATGAATGTATCAAATCAAAACACTGTACACCTTAAACTTACACAATTGACACTCATGTCAATTATATCTCAATATAGGTAAATTAAAAAAGAAGAAAATTAATTACAAGCAAAAGAAAAAAGAAAAGAAAAACTTTGTCAGCTTTTCCAGATATTTTGCTAATAGGGTTCAGAATTTTTTTTTTTTTTAAAGATTTTATTTATTTATTTGAGAGAGAGCGAGTGAGGGAGAGAGCATGTGCTGGGGGAGAGGCAGATGGAGAGGGAGAGGTGGACTCCCCGATGAGCAGGGAGCCTGACCTGGGGCTCAATCCCAGGACCCTGGGATCATGACCTGAGCCGAAGGCAGACACTTAACCTGACCGAGCCACCCAGGCACCCCTAGGGTTCAAAATTTCTTATCTTTTAAAACTCTCTAAGCAAATATTCCTCTTTTTATCTGGAATTTTTCTCCTTCTCAAAATAACCACCAGAGTTCTCATCAGATAATTCTTCCTTAGTCTTCTATAGACTTATTTGTGATAGGCAACATTTGTCTTCTTAGATGAATAAAACAAATTGAGACATGTCATTACTCCACTACATTTTTTAAAAGAATGAAATCTATTTTTTCTTTTTGATTTTTACACGCTAGGCGACTGTTAATATTCTAAGGATAATACTACTTAAAAAATAAAACACTGTCAAAATAATGAAGACAATTTAGAGATCTCTTTCCACAGGATATTGCAGAACAAAAACAAAACAAACAACCAAACAGATTTTTATAAAAGAAGATAGGACGTGAAATGATGAAGATAATCCCAGGGTCTTAAAAAACACAAGGTTGGAGAGGAGGGAAGAGTCGGGACGCTTAACCGACTAGCCACCCAGGCATGCCTTTTTCGTCCTGACCTTACCCTTCATCCTGTTATATCTGGTCTATTACATCAATCCCACAGACTCTTTCGATTCTAAGTCCAATATCCAACAAAGTGCGACATCAGCTTCTACCTTAAGTGCTTCATATTGTCTGCTACTGGGCCGCAGGCCCGCCTCTAGGCCATGTCTTCACAGAACCTCCACCTGAAATCTTATCCTATTCTCCAGAATTCTTTTTTTTTTAAATAATGGAAGATAAAGACAGAACATATAAATCAATCTATTTTTTTTTTCTGAAATACAGATAAATCTTACTTCAGTCCTCTGTACAACCAGAGACTTGGCACCAAGAGACTTTTTTCTTATAGGGTCTATTGGGAACAGAGAGGCAGAGTTATGGGGAGACTGCCTAAGGAAGGCACCATCTTTGGTAGAGGAACAGGACCCAGAGACATCAGCTGAGGGAAGAGAAGAAAGGGATTTAGAGTGCCCAGACAGGCTCTTGGGAACAAAGATAAAAATGTGGCCGTAAAGTGGGGCAAAAACCCAGAAAGATCAGGCCCAGTGCTAGGCCCTGTCTTCATATAACCTCTACTTGAAATCCTGCTATATTATCTCCAGAATTCTCATTTTTCCTCTCCCTCTACTTATGGTCTAACCTACTCCAGAGATAATTCTTATTTTTACTTCTATTTTCTCCCTGGTTCTACTAAGTAAATTCCTTAGGAGACCTGAAACAGGCTTTCAGCTCACTTTAGGATTATTTTAATTTTTGACGGGGGTGGAGTTAGGAAGAGTTTGGAAACTGTGGGGCTGTATTCCATTTTATGGTAGGTGAGAGAAAAACCCTAACTGGAAAGAAAATTCAGTAGTAAGTAGAAAAGAAAGTTTGATTTTTAAGATTTTGGCAGAGGGAAAAGGAATGTGTTTCTGAGAACAGACCTAGCACACACACAAAAAAATCTAAGGAAGAATGCCTTAATGGATTTTTGATTTTCCAACAGAAACACCACTTACCATACAGAGCAGCTTGTTTCCACAGCTCAGTTGGTACTTGGCTTCATGAGCATTAGAGTTGTGGCCAGGCCCAGGAACCTAACCACCATGTTTCAACAACCACAGAGCCTGGATTTTCCAGGAAAATGCCAATATTCTCATCTGTTGTCCTGATAAATCATCAGAAAGTCCTATAAACAGAAATACTATGTGCCCAAATCCTTTCCTAGATAGTATGTTGGTTTAGAAAATATGGACACTGTACTACTATCAATAACTCTATTTTTACGGTAAAGTATAACTTCTATTTCAAACACATAATTTATAAAGATACTTCCAAATAAAGCCCATTTTTGGGTTGGTACTGGCTGAAAGTACAAGGGGAGAACACTATTCAAATTAAGATAATTATAACTAATAATGGCTCTTATCAGTTAATTTTATAAATCACTACAAGGTCCCAGACTACATTCTCCCTTGAAATGCGTTTTGATTAGAAATATATTGCAGTAATGTCTAGTCATCTAAGAATCTGTTTTCCAGAACTAAGTTTCCTTAAAAACTAGCACTGTCTTTATTAGTTTTCCATCACTGTATGACATGCTTTGCCCTGGTAGTCCAACAAAAGAAAACAAAACGAAGAAGAAACCAATCATTAGAGAGCCTCCCATCACATCTTGGCCTATCCATTCATCCACTTGGACCTTCCTCCAAGTTATCACCGTCCTAATATGATTCCTTTCATCGGGGCAGTGGTTCTCAACCTGGTGTCACCTACGGAGCTTCTCAAAATACATCTGCTAGGGCTGTGGCCTGAGACCATGAAGGTTTGGGAGGAGGTACATGTTTATGTATTTTGAAAAGTCTATGCAAATGATTTTAATGCATACCCTAGTTGAGAACCATGTATTTAAATGGGCAAGGATAGGGGCTAGAACACTGGTCTCAAGGAATGAAGTCTACCATTCTGAAGGGGAACTGACCAAAAGTGTGGCCATCACCAGACTGCATAATCAAAATTGCACCAGATTATGCACAAGACTGCATAATCAAAATTAACAGAAGACAGAGAGAGAGATCTGAAAGCATACAGACCATTAGGTTGGGGATGACTTGAAGGACATATGCTTCTGTTTAGAACACATCACTATTTTGTAACAGAGTTAAAATGTATTATTTTTTTGAAAAAGCACATTCCAGGCTCTAGCTCAGAGGACCACGTGACCATCCTAGACATAACACTCCCTTTCAGACACAATGCATGTCGTGGATCAAGATGGTTAACAATCCTCTGCAGTTCCCATCTATAAATTAGGGGCTAAAGTTTTTGTTACTGTTTTGAAAAGGTTCAGTTCAAAATCACGACCCATATACTTTCAAAACAAGGTATTACTTTTTCTAATCTCTTTTGCCTTCTAAAAAATTTAAGGCCAACTAGAAACACTACTACAAGTACTTTTAATTTGTCATTACTGCTCTTCAGTGGCTGCAACCAACTTAATTACTTTGCACCCACTCTCACTAATCAAGTGGATTGGAGGCTGAGTCAGCAAGGGTGTAAAATCTAAACACAGACGGTTCCAAAGACTGAAAAAAGAAAAAAAAAAATCTTACCTTTGGTTTTTTGTTCCGTGACCTGAAAAATAAATTAACAGACATAAGGCAATGAGATCTGCTTTCCAGTTCGGTATTAAAAAACTACTGTAATTCTAAGGACTTAAGTAATTCAAGCTATCAGACACGCAGACGTAGTTCAGATCCAGAAAAAAAAGCTTGAGAGCTCAGACATCCTTCTATAAAGACAATGGCCATATGTCCAGTTACAACTTACATGACCACTATTATGGATACTAAAAATTAAAACAAAAAGCATTCCACTCTTACTAAATGATGAAGTACCTATACCTATATGAAGTACCTGTTTGTCATTTGATGCTATGACTAGAGAAAAGCAAAGGATGGAGCCTAGAAACTAAATTAGCCATAGAGACAAAAAGATCACCCTATGAGTATGGACTCAAACACTCAATTTCAAATCTAGAAAGCAAAAGTTCAGGGGCCCATCATCAGAGGTATCAGGCCATGGCAGAAAGGCAGGATTTAAAACCAAGCCATGCCACTTCCTGGCCGTGTGATCTCAGTTTTCTATTTATCTGTTGAATGGAGATTAGTAATAATAGTATCTCGGTACAAAGGGTTGTTATAAGGATTAAATCAGATTATCCTATGCCAATGCTCGATAAATGTTTGTTGTTTTTAATCAAAGTTCACAAAGAACAGTATGAAATACAGCAATGAGTGAAACGTGTAAATCTGGAACAAATAAAGATTGCTTTGTTGAAAGTATTTCTTTACATAGTAGCTAATACATCTATGGAAGTGATTAACCTAGAAGGTTGGACAGGCTGAATGTAATAACGGGTTTTTAGAGAGTTTGGAAATGATGATTAGGAGCCACATGGAAAACTGCTTCTGCTATTAAGAGAGGAAAATAAAGGAGGGCACCTAATTATACATGCCCTATAATATTAAAAAACCACAAAAGGCCATGCATAAGAAAAACATCCAAAAGGAAATTCTAGAGTTACAGAATTCTAATAGACTTATATTATTTTCCTTATTATTGAGATCATGCATGATTTTTGACTCCCTTTTCCCAAATGTTAATCTTCTAAAGCATTTTTTTTTTTAATTTAATTATTTATTTGACAGAGACACAGTGAGAGACGGTACACAAACAGGGGGAGTGGGAGAGGAAGAAGCAGGCTTCCCACAGATGCGGGGCTCGATCCCAGGACCCCAGGATCATGACCTGAGCCGAAGGCAGATGCTTAA